TACACACACACACACACACATATATATATATATATATATATATATATATATGTATATATATTAATATGTATGTTTGCTTCCATACATTCATTAGCATGGCCATATGCCCCTATATATTAATCAACATACAACTATCATACACACACCTTGTGTAGAGGCATGCCTTCGTAGTCCGTTTCCTTGACCACAGACAGCAGGTTCTTGCCCATGACCTCAAACACCATGCACACGTGTTTGCCATGAGGTCCGTGAATGATAAAGTCGTCCAGCAGAGTCACCACATTATCCTTGCCTGATATAACAAAAAAGGTCAAATATGGCCCAAAAACTGTCAGAAACGGGCCAAGGAATCCGACTCGGAGAGGCAACTATTGGGGCCGGCTAGTCTATAAATAGAGTCGCCATAGTAGCCATCACAATGCTTATGTCAGTGATATGCGATCCAAAAAGCGAAGACAAGTTGACGGACAAATCACAGAAAGATTATGATTGTGTCCCTTTTGGGACGTATGAGTACCAGAGGCATCCAAAATCAACACTCTCAAACCCATACCCCCGACCAAAACCAAAACCAAAACCTTCGTGCGAAACTATGAGCACGAACAGACACAGTGAGTCCTTAGGCGCGCAGAGGTGCCTCTCACACAGACACACACCTTCGTAGACAAAGACAGGACACTATAGACGAGAGAGATTCACAGTCGAACCCTTTAACGAACACGGAAACCATTGCACACACGGGTACCTTCATGCGAAGTTTTTTGACGGTCACGACATGTGTGCAGCAGATTGATCTCATCCAACGCAGCCTCTGTGTAGTGGTGCGCACTCTTGACCACTTTGAGTGCGATGTATGTCTGGGTCCTGGATCATGGGAAACAAACGGATGTGTGAGTGTTTGAGGACATTGAACGATTGGAAACGAACATGAATATACGATAGTACGGATATACAAGCCTGTATATATACCTAAATCTAAATCTAAACTTCTATATACATATATATAACTCAATGAATCAATAAATCAATAAATCAATATACATTATATATATATATATATATACATATATATCCATAAAAAATATACAAACATACTTACGTAGATACATACGTAAAAACATACATGCATACATACATACGTACATAATATATATATATATATATATATATATATATACATATATATATAGCTAAATGGAAGGGTCAACGTTTGCGAAGCCAAAGAATGTATGCCACTGCCTTGATCTCACATAGAGGTAGGGTATCGTAGTTTAAAGATAAATTCGTCAATAAAATATAAATAAATCTGAATACACACGTTCATACATTTACACATGTATATAACATAACCGCAAATCTATACACACCCTTAAACACAGCCACACACATACGCTTGGATACACACACATACAACGCACACATACTTGTGATCGAAACACAGCCACACGGTTGAGAAGTACCCCCAACCCAGTTTGTGTAGGGCTTGATACCGGTCCACAAACATGTCGCCTATGGTCACCACGTGGTAGCCACCCACGCGATAGTCATCGGGATCTTCTTCATCCCCGCTGCCACCATCGTCTTCAGAGGAGAGCTCCGAGTTGTAACCACCTTTGTCTGTACAGAGGTATATGCAATGGTGAAGGATTGGCTTTTTGGATACGTGAGTACATGTATATGCTTTGAGATGTATGTTATCGATGGGATATATA